GGCTCTGCTTGTCATTGCAGAGATTGCCATGGTCCTCCCTACTCCAGGTCACCGAGCAGATGGAAGCACGTGGTTTTTAATATGCTGGATTGACAGTGGTCAGTATTACAATTTAATTTGAATACAAGATTGCCACAATTCACTGTGATTACAGAGAAGTGTCATCAAAACACCAAAACTTCAGGAATGTCTTGCTGTCTTACATAGCAGCTTTTTTTTCTCCTTGCTTGATTTTTCAGATGAAGCTAGATTTGTTCAGAGGCTCACTGGTGGTGAGTGCATGCATTAGATAGACATAACAAATAGCAGGCTGCGTGGTATTTTGCAAGATTTCCCTTCCAGCTCTACCAGCAAACAACAGAGATAACCGCTGCCTCCCAAATTTCCATACTCTGTTTCTTTCTGGGTCCGGTCCAACTTGCACTCGAGCTGGTTGGGAAATTTCCATTGATTTTCATGGACTTCGGACTAGTGTCTTTTAAGAGAAAAAAAATTAATTCCCCTCCAGAGCCAGAGTGGAGGGCTATGCAGGGCCCATGCTGTGCTGAGATGGGTGTCAGCAGAGGGACCATTATGGCTAATCCTGGGGCCAAGATGTGCTGATTTACAACAAAGTTTGTCATGACTTACATCAGCTGCACATGATCCCCAAGAGAAAAAAATTAATTCGTACCAGAGATGGACAATTACCTAGTGGCATCTAAGCTGCATGTGCACATAGGAAGGATATAGGGAAAACAGAATCTGCACCATCTAAAATGGTGGCACCATCTAGTCCCCAGCCAGTATGTCTGCTACATTTCCTAATTTATGCAGTGATTTAACATTACAGTGGGTCCAGCTCATTAAGGCAAATTTATATGCAGGAGCACTATTTTAATCTTAGACTTAAAATAATTTTAATTAATAATAGCTTCCTTTTCCAGTCTGTCAACATATCTCCACCTCTTGGCTTTTTAAGCATTAAAGTAAATATAGAAATAAAAATATTAAATTATTACCAGGCAACCAGAACAAAGAAAACATCAGAATCCTCAAGTCTAGAGATACGAAAAATGGCCTAGAGTTTTCAACCCCGTCCTGTCTACTCAACACAACTATAGCTGGTTCCATCTTATTTAAGGCTTGCTAATTTAACTAAATATTGAAATGAAATAATGAAAATACCATAATAGACCATCTCATCCTTTATTCTTTCAGTCTTTCAGGTGCGAGGTTTCTTTCTCAACCCGCAACTGCTAACAAATATCACCTTCATGACTTTGCCTGCGGCATTTATCCTGCTACTACGATAATTTTGCTTCCTCTTCGCTGGAGACAGCTGCTGTACGCGGGTAGCTCTTCTGCAGCATGGTAGGACATTATTGAAAAGCTTGCTGCTGACACTAATGGAGCTGGCCTAGCTGCTGACACAGAACATATGGCTTGACAGGATTTCAGATCCAAAATGCTGACCCCCTCTTTTGGCAGCAAGGAGTGCGGTGTACTGGAGGACGGAGCTCAGCCACCTCCTTTCTGTAGGAGAGTGAGAGATGTACGGGCTATTTCACCCCCCTTGGCTCAGAAGGGAAAGTTAGCAAGTCTACACTTCCCTCATCCAACTTAAAGAAAACAAACCAAAAAAAGTTGTGCTCAGAAACCACCATGCCGGTTTCAATAGGGTTAAAATTTCCCCAGCAGTGTGCCTTTTGGAGGTTTGGGTTTTTTTAATATTACTTGGATAAAAAATGAATGAGGATAAGACACGCATTTTTCTTTTTCTAAGGATGTACTCATTTAATGATTAAACTTGAAAAGGGGCTACTAGAAGCATCCTGAATTACAGTTTAAATGAGTTTAAAATTCCAGTTGCTTATAGCTTAAAAAAAAAGTGTCTTAAACCAAATGGTCTCAGTGGGGTGATGCGTGGGCAAAATGTAAAATGACACATAATGAAATAAAATAATTTTATTTGCAAACCTGTTCGAAAGGCTGGTACAGAACGTAATGATCAAGCAGCAGCAGTCTGGCATTTCTCTTGGTGTTCTTCTGCAGAATTATGTGACCCAAGAAAGAAAACATTAAGATGTTCTGATTTCACCCTATAGGACAGAGAAATATGCTTTGGTTAATGCTTACCATAATTCTATCTACTTGGCTCAGACAGTTATATTTTTATGAATCTTACGTTACTTTCTGTCACCCTCTAGGCAACAATATAGAGTTATTACAGTATAAAGGAAAATGCTTCCTGTTCAGCTTATACTTGAACAAGTCTTAACCAAGTGGAAGCTCTTAATAAAAGGGTAAATATACTAAGGAATAAACAGGTAGAGTGAATAAAAAGGAATACTGCCTTTATGGATGCCTAAGTTGATGGCATAGACCAGCGAAACACAGAAAACTCTAAGGTAAAGCCGACATGCTAAGCTACATCAGAAATCTGAGGGAGTTAGAATTTTGTTAAGTGAATTTAGTGCTCATTAAGGGATTTGCAGTGTCAGCATTATAAAGCAAAGTCCTCTCTCGCCTTCAGAATCGGAACAGCACAGCGCAGCAATATTAATTCCGCGGCCGTTCCCTTCTTGGCCTCTCCAATAAAATTATTACCCAGGGACCCAATTGTTCGGCACTGCTTGGCGAGTACCTCCTCAGGAGGAACTGAGCTGAGATCACCGGCTCTTTTAACGTGGCACATGGATTGTAACACTCTGTGCCACGCCAGGCTTGAAACACAGACAACTTCCACCTTTAGTTTAAAGGAAAATATTGTGAATTACTCTTGTTGCTTTCTTTAAGTTGGTCGGTGCTTTACATCTCCCTGAAATACCCCCACAAATGGTTTCCTTCTGCTTTACATCTCTCTCCCATCATTTTTTCCCCTTGTTCTCAGCCCAGTTATTTTGACTAGAAGTTTATTTTGCACAGCATAGGAAATAGAGAGCCACAAAGACTGACCAGACTTAGGAAAAAATATCGGTGTGTAGGTTTTCAAATTAGTTACATGGAGCACAGATCTAGTTGTACAGAAAACACTGATGAGGTTGAAAAAACTGTACTTGCTCTCTCTTTTTGTGTATCTTTCTCTCTTAGCCGAAAGCCAGCTAGATAAGTTTTCATTCTACTGGAAACTCTTCATAATGAGTATACAAGGATATTGCAAACCCTTTTTCCCTATGGCCCCATGTGGCTTTTTAAGCCCAGATATTAAGCCTTCCTCAGCATTACCTTATCCTTCCGACCAGACATCATTCAAAGGTACAGTTGACTTTCTAAATTACATCATATGTAAGTAGATTTATTTTTCCTTTTCTGCAGATATAGTTTAATTTCCTTTTCCAATTTGCATGGGTGCACACTCATAAATTTTAAATATATTTAACCTCTTTTCAAAAGATCCTTTGAATTTCTCTAAGGTCTGTGCCCTTTAAGTTGGATACACAATCTTTTGTACATAAAAAACCCACCAAGACGTCCAGAAATATTGCTTTAAACACCTTACTGCCTTTCCAAAAGGCCTTCTTTTTCCCTCGTGAAACGAAACATTCCCCTGGATAACGCTCCCGGTAGCCCTGAAACAAGGGCTTCAGCTGAGAGATGTTTACTGGGGCTTTGCTGAGCACAGATTTCATTGAGTATCAAAATAGCGAGGGAAGGTCAGATGGGCTTGCTCTGGACCCAAACAGCAATCCCACAAGCCCGGGACCAACCAGCGCCTGCAGCTGCTAGAGGAAGGCAGAGGAAACATTTTGACACGGCAGTGATGGGCTGGCTGACTTGCAGCCATGGCAAGTCCCGTGTCACCTCCTGAGGCGTTACCAATTGATGATTGGTAACCAAAGGATCCCACCCTAAACTGTTGGGGTTTTTTTTGTAGTGCCGGCTATTTCTGAATAGTCGCCTTGTCACCCAGGCAGATCATTACCACCGTCATCTCTTGTTCCTCACCATTAGATGCCCCTTTCTAGGAGTAACCCCCCTGGGAAGTCCAGATCCACACCCGCTTTCCTACCAAATGATGCTGCTGGATTATTTCCTTGACTCTAACCACCCTTGCCAAAGAGCAGGGTGAGGCATAGGAGGCAAAGGACCTGCCTCCCAAGCTGAGCACCTTCGCTTGCGTTTGGAGAAGAGTAGTTGCCAGGGACTTGTATTCAAGCCAGGTGGTGGTCGCAACCACCATGCCCAGTTTGGGTGACCCATCTGCGACAGCAAGTGGGGGACAGCCCCTTTCAGACGCCAGAGGAGATAACCTGGGGACCACAACAGGTGACAATGGGCCGGCACGGGAATGTGATATTGGCCATACCCCTGTCCCCACTCCGTGCCCCACGGCAGGTCCTGGCTGCTGGTACCTAACCCCAGCTCACAGCAGCGCCAGAGACCCCCGGAAAGCACACACAAGCCCCTGTGGTTGTTCAGCAAGGACCACCTGCCTCTCCTCCTTGTTTTGGTTTGTAAATGTAATTATCCCAAAACATATTTATATATATATAATCGTAATCTTCCCCAGATGTCTCGGCGCTGGCTTTCCTCAGGGCTTGCCCGCGTGGTGCAGGCAGCGGCTCGAGATGGGGAACATGCACAGCACGATCCCTGCCTTTGTCTCTGGCTTGCCTCTGCCTGCTCGGCGAAGGCAGCCAGGCAGCAACCTCGGTCACGCGGAGGTTTTCTTTGGGGAGCCGCTGCTCCAAGAGATGCTCTGAAAGGATGCAACCTTAAAACCGGTGCAGTCACTGAGAATTATAATTACAGCATTTATTAAAGCCATTTGCAAGGCAGGAATATAAGATAAAAGGAAATACATAGTAATCGCTTAACCGAATCTGCCACTGCTCACAAATACAGAAATCTTTGGAGGAAAGATGAAGGAGAGGTTAAAAACCTTTCTCTTTCAGGTCCAAGGGGCATCGTGTGCCGCTGGCAGCAGTGGCCAGCTCGAGTCTCCGTCCGCTGCTCCCTCGGCCACTTTGCGAGATGGCCCCTGACATCTGTCGGGGGGTGACCGGCAGGCATGGGCGATGGGGAGGTGTCACCGGGGACACCCTCTTCGCTGCCCCCCACGCCCCCCCGTGCCTGACCCCGACCTGCAGACCCCTCACCGGGCTCTCGCTCTGGAGGACGGCGTGTACCTGCCGCACTCATCGCCAGTGCCGCGGGTCATGCCCTCTCCATCGCCGAGAAAGCCACCGTCCAGCAAAAGGGCTTTGTTCGACCCGGACCCCAGGGAAAGCCCACTCACAGCGTTGGGTTCAATCCTTTTGTTTCCAGGTTAAAAACTTGACCTTCCCCTCCCCTGAGCCTGAAACGGCCCTTGTAGCACTTCTGTTCAGCAATTACATTTTCTTTTTAAATCTTTCTTTGGGTCTCGGGCAACAAAAGGACTTTCATAATATAAATAGGTCTCAAAGCCTTTTGTGTGGGGCAAAAATTATAGGAAAGAGAAAAAACAAGAGAAAAAAAAAATCTGTGTCTCTCTAATTGGCATAATTCCTTCAGCCCTGGCTCATAATTTAGGATGGATCAATTCCGCAGCTGACATGATAGATGTTGTCATCAATACTCGGAAGCAACGATTTATATTTCTTCGTTCGGGGACACAGCCATCCACCTACCTCCGTGGGGGTCCTACGTGTGAATCAAGAGCAATATGTGGCCAGTAGACTAAGACTTGACTTAGACTTCCAGCCATGCAACTTATTAAAATAATAAATATTTTCATTATCCAGAGAATCCATTATAGTTCTCTGTTTTAGCTATTGTTAACTAATAATTTGGATTAATTACCAAGCTAAATCATTAAAAATTAAATCCATATATTTTGCTTCTTTAAAAGAGGGATAGTTTGCAACCGTTTGTGTATTACGCATGTTAAGTGGGAGGGCGATGAAATATGTTGTGTTAACTTAACTTTGACAGCATCTGTAACCATGCCATCTTACGCTCTGGTCTTATCAAATCTCAGAAGCGACAGTGTATAAATAGACTGTGATGATATTTGCAGGAGAGAAATAATTCACAATATTTTTGGCATCTTCTGTAGTGACTAGAGAAGACCTAACAAATATAGCATATAATAATGCAATAAAGGGGTATATAAGAGCATGGAATCGAGGAGCACTTATATGTGCTGAAGCAGAGTTAAGGTTAGGCACACGTTAGCGATCAGACGTAAACACAACTTTCACCCTAAGGAATTTCAAAGCAGATTGCAAGTTTAAATTAACAGGGAAACCCAATTCAGAGCCCATTTCGCTCTCTGCTGAAGCAACAACGGCTATTGCGCTGGAACTTAGCAGTTACTTAATGAGACACTATCAGGTTGAAGACCTATAGATAGAGGGGGAAAGTAAAGCTATTCGGGGAGTAAAATTGTTTACGAATGTACATTTTATTATGTTAAGTACTAAACTATGGGCTGTTCAACTGCTCAAACTGCACGTTACTGAGCTGAATACAGGAAAAACAGTGAGACTGAACAGGCTGTGATATACAGGTGGCTAGACTAGATAATCCAGTGGGTTTGCCTTGCTGTAAACTCTGTGAGGTTGTGAAAAGGACTACAGTTAAAACTCCTTTACACTTAAGCCTATAAGTATCTAATTAAAGTGGAACACTGTATTTAAATTTAAACAGCAAACCTGTTATAAACTATGTTCAGTAGACTACTTTAGAGTCACCTGGACAAACAAAACACATCCTAAAGCAGTGAGAGACTGATTCTGCAACACCCACTCTAATTTAGGATCCCTTGCCCCTGTGGAGCCAGTGCCCAGCTGAAGTAGGTACTACTCAGTATGGTGATGAGCTGCTGAAGCAAGACTAAATAATGCTTCTTGGCTTTTTCATCCTTTGGAAGAGATTTGTGTCTGGGCTTTATGTAAACACTCGCTGAGGAACCATATACGTCCTGTCCCAGCTGCTGGAGCTGCCCTGGGAGGACTGCCTTGCAACGAGCGCTAGAAGCGCACCGCACACCAGAACAAGTGTGACTGTGCTTGGTAGCCCTGCCCTTGAGCCACGTAGCCACCTGCCCTCCAGAGGAATTGCTGATGCATGGGGCTGTTGGGACTAGAGCAGGCATGGATTTACTGGTGAGAAGTGATGAGGTGTAACAGCCCCCACTATGGCCTCGAAACCGCAAGGTGTGACATGCACGGTCTAATCCTGCACCATGCTGTGTATACACAGCTGTGCGGCTGCCCCCACAACTGCTGAAATCCACAGGCAAAAGAAAGGTCTGACCGTGTCCCACCACCTCTGCGCTGGTGTGTCAAAAGTGGGGTAAGACGTAGAAAATCACATTCTTGAGGCACACTGTACTGATGCTAAGGAATGTCCTACACTGGTCACCTCCAGAACTCCTCTCGTGTTCTTTGAAAGCATTCAGCTAAGGTCTTATGAATTCGCTGGGAATTCAGTTCCCGCTGGGTACGCGTTTTAAAGGTAGGTTATACCAAAGAGATACTATGGCGATATTTTTCGTAGAGGATGTTGACTAAGAATGTAGTATTTCTCACCTCCCCCTTATTTTATGTTGCATTAAAATTATCTTTACTCTTCCTCAGGCAGTTGCTATGCCACGCTCAAGACGGAGAGTCTGAGAAGTGGGAAATGTCAACTTTTAAGATGATGTTCAGCTTTCTTGTTACATGCATTCTTTATGTAATGCATTTGAATTACGTATTGTTCCTAGGCCTTCAGCTCTTCTTAGAAAGTCTGCTTGACTGGGCACAGTTGCTTGCTTATTCTTAATGAAGAGTTGTTAACAGAGGAAAGAGCACAATGAGGGGGCAAGTAATGTCTACATGAATCATTAAAAATATATGTACAGTGAGCAGGATTAGATAGCACACAGCATATTTCTGTTTATATAATGCCATGCTTTCCTAAAGAGGTAGGCTTCACTCCCTACAGGAGCTGAAAATATGTTGACAAGTCACACAGCAAGGGATGACAGGGGGGAACCGGTGGCTGTGGGGAAGCCCTGGGTTGCAACAGGCAGCATGGAAGGTGTTCCTTCAGGCACGGGCCTGAACTCCTTTTAAACGGTCTGCGTTAATTTACTGTATGTTACGGTTACAATCATACCACGCTTGGTGCTAGATGGGACATTTTTAAGCAAGAAAGCAGCAGGTGAGGTTACTGTTCGATGGCTGGCAAGCAGCAAGGATTTGAGTGAGTGAGGCTGTGGAGCACAGAGGATGCTCCGGCCACAGGGACTGACCATGGTGTTATGCCGAGGAGTTAGCAGAGGAACGCAGCAAAGCCACAAGCCTTCCCGGCCTGGCACATCACAGAGGAAGCAAAATCAGGGGTGGGAGGGTAACCTGTAGGTGAGGTCTCACCTACAAGGAGTTTTAAAAATGCCATCAAGGCCAGAGGAGAAAAGGGGAAGCTTCCAGCACTTGGCAGCTAACCAAAACAGTTGAGATTTTCAACTGACATTAATTTCAATGCAATTAGTCTTGATGTTCTCTGCTCCGCATGAGAAGAGAATCATGGCCATGATGGGAAAGAAAAGAACACCACAATAATAATATACATGCAAGAAATGTAAAAAAAAAACCTTGTGTGTTAAAACATATTAAAAACATAAAACATACTGCCTATGTTGCTATCATTATGTATTACTGTTTGAAATTTAATTCACTCAGTGATGTTCATGCTGTTTGCTTACTTTTTCTATTGATCCCAGTTTGGATGATGAATTTAGCCTACAGAATTTCACTTCCAAGTTTCCACGTGTTAGTGAGCTGCCGCCTGTGAGCACTGCAGTCCACCTCGTGCTTTACAGAATGACCTGTGGTCAGTTCCAGCGCTGATGTAAAGGGGGTCTACCTCTAGTGATTTAGTCCATAAAGACAGCCTAAGCCTCCCCTGCCGTACATAGCATTTCGAGGGTGATTTAAGCACTTCTGCAAATCACTGCGTAAGCTGGGACTCAGGGAAAGAATCAGGGCCATACTGCAACGCGGGTTGCAAAATCTCCCCTTAAAACGGGAAGAGTGAGGCAGCACAGGCCGTGGCTTAAAAAGGTCAGTGTAAATATGCTGCCCTTCACTCCTTCACACATAAGTAATAGATTTGTTGAGAATGTCACCTGTTTTGCAGGCTCAACCTTCAGCCATACTGAGCTTTACCCCAGCTGACGGAAAAGGCTGTTTTCAGGTGGTTTTATGTGTCCAATACTGGACCAAGCCTGGCATCTGAACAGGCCTGATTTTTTTCATTTTCATCTTCATTTGCTCCGGTTAGACAGAGGGTGCCGCAAGCCTTCCTGACCCGGGACACGTCCTTCTCCATCCCGCTGGGGAAGGTGAGGAGACAGACCTGGCAGGAGCCGGCTCCCGTGGGTCCCTCCAGGCTGAAGATGCGCCACATCCACAGGGTCGGGGGACTTCTGGCAGTAGGAGGCTGCGCCACCTTGGCTGTGCAAGGGAACAGAAGCAGCTCTGGAGTGGCTCAGGATTTTCAGATGACTTGCCGAAAGCTGCATACAAACATACGAGTTTTCGAACCTTTCCCTTGGAGTGTGCCTACGCTGCAACCAAAGCTGTGGCTGCAGCTTGTGCAGGGTTACCGACCCTAAATTAAATCGAGCTAACTCAGGAACGAATAACATACAGTCACAAAACCAGTCCAGAAGCCTGCATAAATACTTGAGCCTGTGCACTGCTCAGGGCTGCCAGGGCTACACGCACGTCGGGGTGCCACTAGTCAGCTGCAAGCTGGGTTGGGTTGGTCTCCAAGAGCAGGGATCTCCCAGTGTGGGATCGCCCTGTGGATATTCGCATTGGCACTGTCACATGAATAGCCCCCTCTTTTCATCACGGATTTTGCACATTTCTTCTCCCCGTCTGCCATGACATGGCACTTCTCTGGCAGCCACTCACTGCTTAGCTGAAAAGCCCAATATTCTGGAAAGTGTTTAACGTGTGTTAACCTCTCTTAATGTGATTCAGCAACTACAAATCAGGAGAGCCTGCCTCCCCTGGCCAGCCAGGTATCACAGCCAGCGCTTCACGCAGGCTGGGCAGTGCGAGGCGTCATACTCTCTTTGGGTGGCAAGCACTGACGATTGGTACTTTTATTTTTAACCAGCGATCTCCCTGCAATCCGGGGACCTTTAATCTGCCGTGCAGATCTAGGTAGACCTGTATGTAGATGGAGCCCGTAGGAGCTGTGATTTGCACAGGTGCAGCTTATGACACATCTAAGGAGGAATCGGTGCAAAAACGCGTT